CCGATCTAAGGGTCAAACTGTCAGTGCTGTCAGACACAGGCCCGACTTCTGGAGAGGGCTCAGGAAACCGAGCATCAGGGCCTTTGGAAAACCCTGTGGCCTTCAGGAAAGATTGGGAACTTCCCTACGGAAATAGGCCAGCAGCCTGACGCGCCCAGAGGCTGCCAGGACACACAGACCTGGGAAGCCAGGTCAAGATGGCAGTCTGAGCACACGGGGGGTTCCCTGGGAAATGCAGCTTGGGAGGAACCCAGGTGTCCCTGCTATAGCCACGCAGCCCTGTGTGCAACATGTGGAGGGTCTGCAGGCTTTCCCTTCACCACCCGGTGCGGGCTTGCGGGAGGAGGGGTGACCGAGCAGCCCCGCTCGAACCGCACAGCCCGCCTGCGAGGCACGTTTTGCTGCTGGTCAGGCAGCAGCAGTGCGAGGCTGCCGAGTGCAGGGCTTTGTTTTCCAGATCAGAGCCCATCTGTTTCCAAGGCCCGGAGCCCCTAGGACAGGAATGTGCTCTGACTGCTTACAGGAGAGAAAACGGTGCTCGCCACCCGAGAAGGGGGGTGCCCTGTGCACAGCTGACCATGCCCACGGTGTCCCTCCCTCCCCTCTGAAGAGCGCTGCAAACCCAAGGAGCCAGGGGCAGGCCAACTCCACGCCTGGTGCTTGTTAGGCTCCTGGACACCCTCAGACTCCCTGTGCTCCAGGCGTGGGGCGGGCACCCAGCCTTGCCCACTGTCCAGGAGCCCCCTCAGCGTGGGGATGAGGCAAGTACCAGCCAGAAGAGAGCAGTGCAGGGCACTCAGCTGGAGAGGTGACAGGCAGGCCTCAGGGTGGAAGGGGTGGATCAGTAGCCCTCAGCTGGTCTAAAAAGATGTGAGTGGGACAGGATCTTCACCTCACATTCCCACCTGGGCCATAACATTAATTTTTCTTAACACTTCTGTTGGCCAGCCTAGAGCACTGCTTTACCTACTTTCCAGTTTTCTAGACATAAAAATCCTGATTATGCAGATCTGTGCCCTGCTTTAGTGTGTTTATAGTTTATTCTTACGCTGGTCCCCACCTCTGGACCCCTCTGGTCACACTGTACTCAGCCCAGGGCCTGAGCCCAGGCTGTCACTACGCTGGCGTGAGGACTCAGGTGGGAGCAGAGAGTCAGCCTGGGGTCCCTGTGGGAGTGCTGGAGAAAGAGGAGCTTTGGTTCCTCTCACAGAACCTGCTGAGCTCATTCTGCCCCAGTGGGGGTCAGACCTACCGGTGAGGTAAGCGACAGGATGGCAGAGGTGGGAGGTAGGGGCTGATTCCTGGTGGCTTTTTTTGCTTAAGCCAGTTTGAGTTGGATTTCTGTTATTTGCAACCAAGAGCCCTGGAACATTAAGGGGACAAAGCTGTCCACTCAGTTTGGAAATGCAATGATCACGCAAATGAACAAGTCCCACCATCTGCAGTGTGATCCATCAGGTTGTCCTAGGACAGGACCACCAGGGAGAGCTGTCAAGTCAAAAGGGAGACAACTCCCAGGGCCTGCACTCCTTCAGCACCACCCAGCAGAGACAGACGGACCCAGCGGCTGTGCGGAGTCACCCTGGGAAAGGCGGATGCAGCACGGAGGCTGGACTTCTCAGCTCCAGTGCTCCCTGTGGTCTGGCTGCAGGCCGGCCAAGCAGCCCTCTCAGCACCCCTCTGGTTCCCTTGGGACCTAGATACTGAGTGACCATGAGGGTTCTGTGCCCCTGAGGCCTGACTTCCTGGGGTGGGGGTCACCCGAGTAGTCGGTAAGCCTCCCTGACTGCTTTGGGACCTGAGTCGAGGTGGGGACTCGCCGTGTGGAGGGAGGGAGCAGGTTCTTACTGGCTGAGGTGCAGTCCCATTTCCTGGAGGGCTTGTTCTTGCTCATCGCAAACCTTCTGTAGCTCTGCCTTCTCGTTCTGGAGCTCTCGCAGCTCCTGAAATGAACAAACCGGACTCGTGACACAGAACTCAAAGTCCTTTTTATAAGGTTTAGTAGTCACAGCGACAAGCAGGTCAGAATGTTTTTCAGGAGTAAGAGGCAGATTCGTGGTAAATGTCATTTCAGAAAGGGTCATTTCATGGGTCACTTCTCTCTAGCTGCCTTCTCCAGAGCGGGCGAATGAAGGTGAGTAGCTCTGCAGCGGGGACAGCGACAGGGTCAGGAAGGTACCTCAAAACAGTCGCCCTCACAGGGCAAATAAGGCTTTGCCTATCAGAGTTTCTATTAAAATATTTTTAAAAATGTTCTTATTGATTTTAGAGAGAGAGGAAGGGAGAGGGAGAGAGAGAAACATCGATGTGAGAGAGAAACCGATCGGCTGCCTCCCTGACGCACCCCAACTGGGGACCGAACCTGCAGCCTGGGTGTGTGTCCTGACTGGGAGTCGAACCCGAGACCTTTCAGTGTACATGGAGATGCTCCAACCAACCGAGCCACACTGAGCAGGGCTTCTATGGAAAGATTTTTAAAAATCTACAACTACCTCAAAAAATACACAGATGAACCTTATACAAAATTGTATGACGCTTACAGCAGCGAAGGCTCATTTGAACGAACTCTGGAGGGGCTGGTCGTGTCCTGCGAATGAATGGGACCGATGGACACTAAGATTTGGGGTCTCATGGCTGGACGCAGCCACATCCGGAGGCCCCGAAACCCCGCGTGGGAGCCGTGCGAGGGGGATGAGGCTCGTGCGGGCACATCCTTGACCATGTGTGAAATCTGGGGTCAGCGCACCTGGAGGACACTGCTGATGGGGGCCAAGGACTCAGAAAAGGAACGGGGTCCAGGACTCACATGGGCAGCCGTGGGGCCTATGCCTGAGTGGTGGGCATTCCCCCACAGCCATCCCTGGGCCTTCTGCCCCAGAGCCTGTTGACACAGGCTTACCGGTGACATCAGGCAGGTTGTTTTGTTTCGTGTGTAGTGTGTGTGGGAGGGTGTGAAATTCAAAGCTTACACCGAAGTATTTTGAAGTAGAGGGGTATGCTCCATGACACAGCAGAGCTTTCTAGAAGTCCTCTTCTACCCTCTGTTGCCTCCTCCCCGGTCCGAGCCTGAGTGGCTAAGGAGGAACCTCTCCCCTGCCTGGTGATTCCCGCCCCTGGCCTGGTGGCTCTCACAGAGGCTGCAGGCACTTTCTGTCAGAAATGGAAAGGGCCTTTCCTTCGGATTGCGCAGCAGTACCATTATTATGTTAAACACAACAAAATCCACGTCCGAAGGCTGCCTCAGCCCCCAGAACCCTCCAGAGGGGAGGTGTGGGAAGGCCACCTGTGGCTGGACAGTGCCCTGAGCTTCCCACCAGCCCCACCCAGAGAAGCCATGGAGGCCAGAGATGCACCCCAGTTCCCCAGACAGAGGTCAGCTCTGACCAGAATTGCCAGGCCCCCCCTGTTTTCTGGGGAGACATATGGGAATTTTACAGTAGGGGAAGACTAGACCACCTGCGTTTCCAGGAGGTCCCGTCCACAATCAGATGACAGTGCAGCGCTGGCACCCCCACTTCCCCGCTCTCTGGAGCTTCAACGCAGGATCCAGGCCACCCCTTCAGGTGAGGTGAGGCCTCCAGAGGTAGGTGACTCCAGGGACAACTAGACTCAGGTCTAGTCTAGGGAAGATTTAGGGCCCTGGTTCAGTCAGCTTCCTGGGAAGGACCAAGGACCAGGTGGTTCTCGGGAGGCAGGATACCTGGCCCTGGGCAGAGTGGCCACCCACCTCTGGGGGAAGGCGTGGACTCGCATTTGCTGATGTTTACTGGTTACTCTGTTTTCTTTCTTGCAGACTTAGTACCTATTCTCCACACAGTAGGTGGTGATGGTCCTAAAGTGAAATGGATTATGCCCTCTAACAGCTGCTTACCAAGCTCAGAATAAAGCCCAAATGCATTTCCACGGGAGGCCGGAGCTCCAACGCCTCCTCCCTCTGCTCACCGCACCTCGGTCCCACGGCCTTCCCGCGCTTCACTAGGACACACCCTCACACTCCCAGTGTCTCTGACCAAATCTCTGCCTGTCCTTTGCTCGTCCTTCAAGTCTCCAGTTAACTGTCCCTCTTTTCCCAGACTGCGCCGCAGCACTGTGGGGACAGTTTCCTGTTTGATTCTCTCCGCAGCACTCATCACTGAGTTTCTGGTTTGCTCACCGGCTTTTGATCAGCTCTGCCCCTTCCTCCTAGAGCAGAGGCTCTGAGGGTGCAGGGATAGTGCCTCCCAGACTCTGGGCCACTGGCACGCAGGGGGCTGGGGCCTGGGGTGGTGAGGGTCGTGGCAGGCGCTTCAGCAGGAGTTTCTCAAGATGCTAAAAGCTCTATTCCTCCCGAGGACAGTCCAACTTACCTTTGTTAATCCTTCTACTTGCTGTAGCTCTGCTCGGAGGAGAGAGGAGGTATCCTTCTCACACTGCAACTCTCGTTGAAGAGCTTGCCTTTGCTCTTTTTCTGACTTCAACTCTTTCTCTAGACTTGAGCTGTTTTCCCCAAAATGAATGTGAGTTAGTCTCAGTGGGAGATTTTCATGGAAAATTCACAATCCAACCCAAGACACCACACAGGCAATGGAATTCACAGAAAACGAAATTGCCTCATGAGCCTCTGCCCTTCAAGAAAGCAGAGCAACAAGGCTCCCTCTCCCGGAGGGCAGCCAGCACCTCCCAGCACCGACCAGGATCCCCCAGGGGAAAAGGGTGTAGGCGCACACCTGACAGCCCAGGGCGCACACCTGACAGCCCAGGGCGCACACCTGACAGCCCACAAGTGGAGAGAGGGAGGAGCTGACACGCTCAGGAGCGCACAGCAGAATCCTCTACTGAGTTGGGGAAAGAGAGGAAGGTGCAACATGGATTCTGCCTTTTCTATCCAAAGCCAGCTAATGATGGAGGACGCTGGGGGTCTGGGGAGAAGGCTACAGAGGGTCAGCAGTGCGTGGCCCATGACAGTACTGAGCCCCATTAGGCCATTTTTTTCACTTGTGAAATGAGGTACACAGACATCTCTCACCACTGGCCTTTGTACTTTTCCTCAGTACACCTGCTCTCATCCCAATTCCAGCCTTGCAGGGTATAAAACAAGACACTCTCTGCCCCAACGGGAGCNCCCCCGCCACTGGCTCGCCCGCTGGGGCACCTACCACTGGCTGTGCAGCTGGGAGAGCTGCTCCTGCAGCCCACGGGTCCTGCAGCCCAGCTCCTGCTGCAGCTGGTGGCTCCGCTCCTCGGCGCCCTGCCGTGCTCTCTCTGAGTGCTGTAACCTGGACCAAATGAACCACAGCCTTGTAAGGAAAGGATCAAAGCTCCAATTCGACGTAGGAATTTTTCATATTCTTGCTAGCTTGAGTTTTTTCTTCCATTTTTAATTAATATACAATAAAACTGACTTGTGTGTTTAGTTCTGTGTTTTAGCAAGTCAATACATATAACCACCCAGCTACCAGGAAACAGAACAGTTCCACTGCCCCAGGAAACTCTAGTGCTGCCCCCTGTAGCCACACCCCTTCCCATCCCTGACCCCTGGCGACTCTGACACCATGGCTTTGTCTTTTTGACAGTCACAGAAATGGAAGTATTATTCATATAACCTCCTGATGCTGGCTTCTTTCTCTCAGCGTAGTATCTTGGAGATGAGTCCAAGCTCGGGCTGAGTAGGGTTTCAGCGTAGAGCGCCAGTTTGCTTATCCATTCCCCCATGACAGAGATCTGGGTTGCTTCTGGTTTACAGCAATTATGAATAGAGCTGCTATACATTTGTGTACAGGCTTTTGTATGAACATAAGTTTTTATTCCTCTTTGGCAAATAGCCAGGAGTGGGGCTTTTGGGTCATGTGGTAAGAGTATGTTTAGCCTTATTGTAAGAAACTTTTCCAAAGTGGCTGCACCATTCTGCACTCCCACCAGTAAAATATGAGCATTCCAGTAGCTCCATAGCCTCACCAAACACTGGGTGTCATTATTAATAAAATATTTAGCTGTGAGGCATCTCAGCATGATTTTTTTTTAATCGTCATCTGAGGATATATATATTTTTTTTCCATTGCTTTTCAGAGAGAGTGGAAGGGAGAGAGAGAAACATCGATGTGAGAGAGACACATCAATTGGTCGCCTCCTGCAAGCGCCCTGACCAGGGCCGAGCCTGCATCCGAGGTGCATGCCTTTGGCCAGAATCAAACCCGGGACCCTGCAGTCCACGGGCCGACGCTCTAACCACTGAGGAAACGGCCGAGGCCACCTCGGCATGGTTTTAGCAGGCACTTCCCTCACTGCTCCTTTGCCATCCATACGCCCTCTTTGGTTATTCAAGTCTTCTGTCCATTTTTAAGTGGGATTGTTTGTTGAGTTTTGAAAAATCTTTACATATATTGGATACAAGTCTTTTGACAGATACAGGGTGGGGCAAAAGTAGGTTCTGAGTTGTTGATATGGAAAATAATACAATAATTGTAAAATCTAAGAATAAACTGTTTCATGCCCTCACAACTGTAAACCTCCTTTTGCCCCACCCTGTATGTGATTTACAAATTTTCTCCCAATCTATAACTGCTTTTTATTCTCTTAACCATGTCTTTCACAGAATAAAATTATAAAATTTTGATAAAGTACAGTTTATCAAGTTTTTCTCTCATGGATCATGCTTTTATGTCATGTCTAAGATCTTTGTACAACCCAAGGTTACAAAGTCTTTATAAGTATTCTTCTAAAAGTTTTATAGTTTTATACTTAGACTTATGATCCACTTTTTAAAATATGTTTTTATTGATTTCAGAGAAAGGAAGGAAGAGGGAGAGAGAGAAACATCAGTGATGAAAAAGTCATTGGCCGACTGCCTCCTGCACGCCCCGCACTGGGGATCGAGCCCACAACCCAGGCATGTGCCCTGACTGAGGATCGAACCGCGATCTCCAGGTTCATGGGTCGACACTCGACCACTGAGCCACGCCAGCCAGGCAAGACTTATGATCCACTTGGAGTTAATTTTTATATAAAGATGTGAGGTATATACTGAGGTTATTTTTTTTGGTTTATTGATGTCTAATTGTTCCAACACCATTTAATGAAAAGACTACCTTCTGCTATTGAACTGCCTTTGCATTTTTGTAAAAAAATCAGTTGCCCATATTTGTGTGGATCTCTTTTTAGACTCTGTTCTGATCCATTACTGACCTGATGTTTAAATGTGACAGTAACAACGAGCTCCCCAAAAGCCCTGATCCCCTGAGAGGACAGTGTGTGACTCAGCAGCCCAAAGGCTGACTGAGAGAATACGTGACCCCTTGTTGGGCAAGACTATGGACCCAAAGGACAGCCATCCCAGCCCATCTGTACTTCTGAGAGAGACTCTGAGTAAGTCCCCGGCCCAGAGAATGCCCAGCACCTTCCAGGGACTAGCTTGCTGGGGAGGTGATTACCTTTCTTCCATCTGTTTCATGTTGGACATAACTTGATTGATTTTTTCTTCAAAAGATGTGATGACTTCATTCTTTTGCTGTAAGCTGCTCTCTGTATCCTACAAAAGCAAGGCCAGGGGGTCAGACTCTGCCTCTCCCTCGCCCCAGTTCAGCAGGGTTTGACTGTTCACTTGGTACTTTCATAATACTCTCAAGAGCTTTTCATTCATTGCTGCTCTTCCTCGGAGCCCTGGAAGGCAAACTGGGCCAAGGCTCCCAGTGTGACCAATAGGAAGAAAGGCCAGGCAATGAGCCTTTTGTTTCCTCACAAAGATCATCCACCCTGCATCTAGCAAGCATCACACCTAATAGAGAACCTTTAGATGCATTCTTTTTAAGATCAGGACCACAAATTTGCTCATTGTTTCTACTACTGTTTAATGTAGCCTTGGAGGCGTGGCCAATGTCATAAGAAACAAAAAAGAAATGAGCACAAAAATTGAGTGTGAAGAGATTAAACTGTCTTTATTTGCTTATGATATGATCAGTTACATCTAAAACCAACAGGATCAATAGACAAACTATCAGAACCAGGTGGTAAGCAAAGCTGTCAAGCACAAAGTCAGCCTGCAAGGACAATAGTGCTGCTTCTCCACACCAGCAAGACCTATGTGGAGAACACAGTCAAAAGAAGGCACCAGTCATAGAAGCAACTATACAGAACCCAGGACTTCACCAGAGAAAGTGCAAGACCCTTCTGGAGTAAAAAGGACACAAAAAGAGAAAAGAGAAAATCTGAATAAATCGAGAGTTACCCCATGCTCTTGGATGGATGACTTCATATACTACTGAGGTCAATTTTTCTTCTCAAATCTGTAAATTCAATGTAATCCTCATTTACAAAATTCAGCTGGATTTGTAAAAGGAAATTTATAACCTTATTCTAAAATTGGCATTAAGAATAAAGATTTACAAATAGATAAGTCAATCTTAAAAAAGAGAGAGAACAAGGAGGCAAAGGGGCAGGCTTGCCTGTAATGGGCTGAGTCCCTCCGAAACCTGTACGTTAAGTCCTAACCCCAGCACCACACAATGTGACCTTACTTGGGAAACGGGCCATTGCAGACATAATTAGTAAAGATGAGGTCTTACTGGAGTAAGGTGGGCCCCTAATCCAACATGGCTGGTTTCCTTACAAAAAGGGGAATCTGGACACAGCCAGGCACATGGGAAGAAGGCTGTGTGAAAGTGAAGGCGGAGATGGCAGCAAAAACTTCTGCAGGTGGGTTCTCCACAGACTGTCAGCAACCACCAGAAGTGAGGAGAGGACAGGACAGATTCTTCTACACAGACTCAGAAGAAACCAACCCTGTCAACACCTTAATCTTGGGTTTCTGACCTCCAGGACTGTGAGGCTAAATTTCTGTTAAGCCACTCAGTTTGTGGTACTTTGTTATAGCAGCCCCAGCAAACTAATACAGCTAACCAGGCATTAAAACATACTACAAAGATACAGTAATTAAAACAGATAAATAGACCATAAAACAGAATACAGACCTCAGAGATAGTAGTTCTATTCTATATAGGAACTTGATATATGATAAAGGTGGTACCACATATCAATGAAAAAAGAGTGGATTAACTTTTAAGAGGTTTCCTATAAGGAGAAAAATAAAATTGGATTCCTACATAAGGCCATATACAAAGGTTAACTCTAGATACACTAAAAACCTAAATGTGAAAGATTTACAGAACTACTGTGGAATATCTTTGACACCTGGGCTTGAGAAAAGGCTTCTTAAACAAAACCCTCAAACTACAAACCAGAATGTGAAAAGTCAGTACATCTAACTACATCAAAAATAAGGACTTAAGGTGGGGGATATAAAGTACAGCATAGGAATATAGTCAATAATATTATAATAAGTATGTATGGTGCCAAGTGGGTACTTGAAATACTGGGGGAACACTTTGTAAAATATGATTGCTTAACCACTATGCTGTACACCTGAAACTAATACAAAATAATATTGAATATAAACTAAAATTGAAAAAAAAAATTCAAAAAATAAATTCAGGACTTAAGGATACTAGATGACAGATTGGGAGGAGATATTTACAATATGTAAACCAGTAAGAGACTAATATTTAGGCCATACATGGAATTACTGCTAATCAACACAGAAAATATAGGGGGGGGGAAGAAAAGGAACAGGCAAGTCACAAAGAGGAAACATGAGTGACTAACAAACAAACTCAGACTGAGAAATGAATGTGAAGAAACTACACTCACAATACGGGCATCATAGGACACAGCTGGAGGGAGCCTGTGTTAGTGTAGCCCTTCTGGAAAGCACCATAGCTGGGTTTATACAAACCAAGGACACAAAGGAAGTGTCTGATCAGTAGGACACTCCAGCTTAGGTCTACCAGAGAGCTTCCCCCAGGTCCCAGGGAGGAGATGTATACACTAGCTGCCAGGGAGTTGCTTATGTCAGTGGTGTAGGAGGAAAACCATTTGTCCATCGCTGGAGTGGCAAGAAGATGCAGTGGCTACACATGTGAGGATACTCAACTGCATTTAGAAGCCCAAACCAGATATACACATAGATGAATACAGTGCTGGCTGGGGGGGAGGGAAGTAAGGAACAGCATGAGATCCACAGCATTGTACCACTTATGTGAATTAAAATTCATCTACTCGACAACTAAATTACTGAACCACCCTTGAGAAACCTCTGAAGACTAGCTGAACAGAACTCCTATAACTAATGATAAAAAGAAGCCATGTGAAGCCCAGTAGGAGGAGAGAAGACCAGAATGCACTAGTCCCATACCCACGTGTGGTGGTCAAGAATTGAGAGGGCTATCTCGCAGCTGCAGAGGTCCCACCTGAGGGAGCGAGGGGTCCCAGTCCCACACCAGGCACCCCAGCCCAGACCACCAGTGCTGGGAAGAGGAGCTCCCATAACATCTGCCTGTGAGTATCAGTGAGGATTCTGTCTGGGTAAGACAGAGGGCAGCTGGAATCTCAGGTGTTCCTCTTCAATTGGCCCTCACAGAGAATCACTCACAGATACTCACTGTACACTCCAGAGAAGGTACATGAGCTCAAAAAGTGCCAGGTACATATGAGGAGGAACTGAATTGTCTGGCTTCAGGGTGAGGAATGGAGGGACAGCTCTGGTAGGGACAGAAGTGTAGCCTGCATGCCGAGGAGGTTGCCAAATCTGAGTCTCCATCAAACTAGATAACATCATTCACCCCACCTAAGTGACTTCCTGAAATCACACCCCACCCAACTAGCGCACCAGCCAGAACCAATTTCAATGGCTATTCCTCACAAGTGGCCAGCTTGGTCCCATGCTGTGAACCTCCTTAAAATTTCTGAAAGGTCCACAAACCCCAAACAAGCAGTGGATGGCCTTGCCATGCCCTGTACCTCTTGCTAAGTGGCCCTGGGCACTAGTAGCAGCTGACCTTGGTTTGCAGCACAACCAACATTAAGTGCCTCAGAGCCTAGCACAAACAACTACCAATTCCAGATGACTTTGTAGTTCCTATCAGCTAACCTGGCCTGGGGTCCAGCAGCAGCTGACCTGGGTCTGCACAGAAGACTTTCCCAAGAGGCCCCAGAACCAACACACCATGGCTGGATTCAGACCACACCAGAGCACCGCACAATAAGCTCCACAAACAACACACCCAAAGAACAGACTCAGCAGGCACCAGAGCACCGAATCCCACTCTGGGGAGTCAGCTCCCACACCAGAGCTTCTTCACTGTAGTCACAGCCAGCTCTCAAAGTCAGCTGGCCTGAAGGTCAATCCTACCCACTGACATGCCAACAGCAATCAAAACAACTACAACCCTGGCCAGGTGGCTCAGTTGGTTGGAGCATCATCCTGTACACCAAGGTTGTGGGTTCAATTCCTAGGTTACAGGTTTGATCCCCTGTTGGGGTGCATACAAGAGGCAATTGATTGATGTTTCTCTCTCACATCGATGTTTCTCTGTCTTTCTCTCTCTCTAAAATAAAAAACCAACCCATATCCTCAGGTGAGGATAAAAAAATCCCCACAACTCAACTACAACAGGAGGACACATACAACACACACAAGGGACACACTTGGATCACTCAGCTCAGGTGACCAAGGAGACTGCATCACTGGGCCCCACAGGACACCTACTACATAAGGCCACTCTACCAAGATTGGGAGACATAACATATCTACCTAATACATAGGAACAAATACAGGGAGGCAGCCAAAATAAGGACACAAAAACAGGTCCCAAATGGAAGAACAGGACAGAAGTCCAGAAAAAGAATAAAATAGAGGCAAGCAATCTGCCAGATAAAATGTTCAAAACACTGGTTAAAAAATGCTCAATGAACTTAGGGGTAGAATAGCTTAACTCAGTGAGAACTTACACAAAGAAATAAAAGCCATAAAAAAGAACCAGTCATAAATGAAGAATACAATACCTGAAATGAAGAAGACATAAGATGAAATCAACAGCAGATCAGATGAAGCAGAGGATCACATCAGTGATTCGGAAGACAAGGTAATAGAAAATATCCAGTAAGAACAGGAAAAAAACCTTAAAATAATGGAGATAGTTTAAGGGACATCTGGCATAACATTAGGTGTACCAACATTGGCATCATATGGGTACTAGAAGGAGAAGAGAGAGAGCAAAGGATTGTAAACCTATTTGAAGCTTTCCCTAACCTGGTGAAGAAATTAGACATACAAATCCAGGAAGCACAGAGTCTGAAACAAGATGAACCCAAAAAGGCTGACACCAAAACATATCATAATTAAAATAACAAAGGTTAAAGACAAAGAGAGAATCTTAAAAGCAGCAGCAAAAAGCAGTTAATTATGTACAAGGGGGATCCTCTAAGACTGTCAGTTGATTTCACAACAAACTTTTCAGCCAGGAGAGATTGGCACGAAACACACAAAGTAATGAAAAGCAAGGACCTACAACCAAGATTACTCTACCCAGTAAGGCTATTATTTAGAATCAAAGAAAAGATAAAGAGCTTCTCAGACAAAAAAAAAAGCTAAAGGAGTTCACCACCACCAAACAAGTATTATATGAAATATTAAAGATGGGTTAACAATGAGATCAAGGGAGAAATCAAGATACTTTGAGCCAAATAACAATGAGAACACAACAACCTAAAACGTATGGGACAAAGCGAAAGAAATCCTAAAAGGGAAATTCATAGCATTACAGGTCTACCTCAAGAAACAAGAATAATCTCAAATAAACAAACTAACCATACAACTAAAGGAACTAGAAAAAGAACAACAAACAAAGCCCAAAATGAACAAAAGAAAGAATCAGAGCAGAAATAAATGAAAGAGTCTAAAAATACAATACAAAAGATCAATTAAACCAAGAGCTAGTTCTTTGAAAAGTTAGACAAGATTGACAAACATTTAACCAGACCCATTAAGAATAAATGAGAAAGGACCCAAATAAATAAAACCAGAAATGAAAGAGGAGCAGTAACAACTGACACTACAGAAATACAAAGGATTGTAAGAAAATACTATGAACAACTATATGCCTGGAAGATATGAATAAATTCCTAGAAACATACAATCTTCCAAAACTGAATCAGGAAAAATCAGAAAATCTGAATAGACTGATTACAACTAATGAAATTAAAAGCAGTAATCAAAATACTCCCAACAAACAAAAGTCCTAGACCTAATGGCTTTACAGAAGAATTTTATCAAACATTCAAAGAAGAGCTAACACCTATCCTTCTCAAACTATTCTAAAAAATTCAAGAGGAGGGAAGACTCCCAAACTCATTTTCTGAGGCCAGCATTATACTAATTACAAAACCTGATAAAGATACTACCAGGAAAGAAAATTATAGGCCAATATCCCTAATGAACATAGGCTGAAATCTTCAACAAACTATTAAAAAACTAGATCCAGCAATACATTAAAAATATCATACACCATGATCAAGTGGGATAATATTCCTGGATGCAAGGTTGGTTCAGTATTACCAAATCAAAAAATGTGGTACATGACATTAAAAAAAGATAAAAATCACACGATCATATCAATAGGTACAGAAAAAGCATTTGATAAAATCCAGCACCCATTTATGATAAAAAGTCTCAGCAAAGTAAGAATAGAGGGAACATACCTCAACATAATAAAGGCCATATATGACAAACCCACAGCCAACATCATACTCAACAGGCAAAAACTAAAAGCGTTTCCCTTAAGTTCAAGAACAAGACAGGGATGTCCATTTTCACCACTCTTATTCAACATAGTACTGGACTGGAAGTCCCAGCCACAGTGATCAGACAGGAAGAAGAAATAAAAACATCCAAAAAAATTGGAAAGGAAGAAGTAAAACTGTCATTATTTGCAAATGACATGATACTATATAGAGAGAACCCTAAAGATTCCACCAACAAACTACTAGAACTGATAAATGAATTTAGCAAAGAAGCAGGATACAAAATAAATATCCGGAAATCAGTAGTATTCCTATACACCAATAATGAACTATCAGAGAGGAAAACTAAGAAAACAATCCTATTTATAATTGCATAAAAAAGAAAACAACTAGGAATAAATTTAACCAAGGATGTAAAAAACCTATACTTGGAAAATTATGACACTGAAGAAAGAAACTGAAGAAGATATAAATCAGTAGAAGCATTGGAAGCACTGGAAGAATTAACATCACTAAAATGTCCATATGACCCAAAGCAATCTACAGATTCAACTCAATTCCTATCAGATACCAATAGCAGATTTCACAGAAGTAGAACAATTATTCCATAAATTCATATGGAACCACAAAAGACTCTCTACCTGATATCAAATTATACTACAAGGCCATGGTAATCAAAACAGCATGGTACTAGCATAAAAACAGACATAAAGATCAGAATAGGGAGCCCAGAAATAAACCCACGCCTTTATGGTCAATTAATATTTGACAAAGGAGGCAAGAACATACAATGGGGTAAACATAGTCTATTCAGTTAAATGGAGTTGGGAAAATTGGACATATAAGTGCAAAAAAATAAAACTAGACAACCTTCTTACACCATACACAAGAATAAACTCAAAATGGAGTAAATACTTAAATGTAAGTCATGAAACCATAAAAATCCTAAAAGAAAACATAGGCAGTAAAATCTCAGAATTTTCTTGTAGCAATATTTTTGCTAATATATATAGCAGCAGAAATCCAGGCTGTGATGTGGACACAAAGCCAGCTCCCACCTGAACTTTGTGGAACATTTGCAAATTGATCGCTTTCACTTCTTCCAGCTGCTGGCGGAGGGCGACAAGGGTGTCCTGTTTCTCGTGGGTGTCCTTTTCTAACAACTTCATTGCAATTTCCATTTCGGTTTTCATCCCAATTTGTAACTCCAGTTCCTTTTCTAGTTCCTTAAAAGGATAGTAACCAGGACAGTGTTACTAAAGTAGCATACAGAAATAAACTTAACCGAGGCTTTCCCGGGCAATATGTGAAAGGTAAACGGAAAGTCAGAATAGGTTAGGGAGATTTATAAAAAGTGTGTCTAGAGCGTAACTAGATCACATTTGTGCCCTTTCCTTATTTTACAATGAAAGCTGGCTCTGCATCAAGTCGAGGGCAAGCCGTGGGTGGCGGTACGAGCCCAGGGCTCTTACGACCATGTTCTTCAAACCCCAAGATCAGAACATACTGCCTGAAAGAACGTGTCTTGTATTTCGGCACTAAAGCGACCTGATGCTGCAATGTTACAACTTCCGGAATGAGTTGCTGGTTCATGGCAACAAAGATGAAACCACTTTGAAATGGTTCTGTCCTGGCTAACTCAGGACACGTGTTCTCTGCATCCACACAAAGAGGCAAAGAAATGAAGCGGGTGCAGGGACTGTGTTTAATAAAAACACCAGACCCCGACCAGCTAGCTCAGCAGGTGAGAGCGTCGTCCCCATAAGCCAAGGTTGTGGGTCCAGTCCCTGGTCAGGGCACACACAAGAATCAACCAACCATTGCATAAATAATTGGAAAAACAAACTGATGTCTCTCTCTCTCTCTCTCTCTCTCCCGCTCAAAAATCAATCAACAAAAAACCCACAAAAACAAATAAAAAACACCGGCCACTGACTCACAGATGGGGTGGAAATAAACAGACCAGAGGCTCTGGCTGAGGGAAATGTGTTTTCAAAGAGACCATGCATCTGATTTCACAGCAATCCCTGGAAAAGGTTTACAAAACTGGAAAAATGTGACAATGCAGAACCGAGCGGTAAACGTAACCTGCTGTTTTTTTGAAGGGCCGATTCTGGGCTGTCTGTGGGGTGAGCAGGAGCACGCAGCGGTGCTGAGGGGCTCACCTCGGGGCCGCTGGGGAGCCCGCTCCGAAGCCCCCGCTCGCACTCACCAGGTGGACCTTCTTCTCCTCCTTCAGCTGCTTCCACACGTCGCTGTACATCTCGTCCAGGCCCTGCCGAGTCTGCTTGTAAGTCTCCAGCTCAACTCTTGTGTCCTGTTTTGTTATCTGTATCCAACAAGATCACAGAGAGGAGGTTTTATAGGAAGCAAGCCAACTACAAAGTATTTAAAAATATACCAGAATTTTAAAAAATGTAGCATAATTTCTATTTCTTAAGTGTATACAGATAGGTTGAAATGTTAAAGCTATTTTGAAATATCTTTGAACTCGAGGATGAGAACAAGCCAATAGATATTTTTAAAAGGAAATTTTAGGTTCAGAAAACAACTTCACTTTTCTTTAAAACACAACAGTCGTCCAGTGGGAAAGGCCTCATTGGATCCACCATCCAGTATTCACTGAGCGTGGTTTTAGCACTGGATGCATTCTGAGATGAATCAGACATGACCTCTACCTTCACACCATCAAGTCTATAAAACAGCCACAGACTCTATAAGGGAGGGAGGAGCAGAGCTGTGGGGACACGGGAGGGGGGCCCTGGCCCACCGAGGGGCACGAGGGACGGCATCCCAGAGGACCCAGCTCAGGAGCGGAGGCTGAAGAGTGGACAGGAACCTCCGTGTGCAAAGGCCCAGGTGCGGGGCGCAGGGTGCCTGGGAAACCCCAAGTGCTCCAACTGGCTTGAAAGCGACAAAAGAGGCACAGCAGCAGGAGGCACTTTCTGAAGACTGGGTCGTAATTAAACTATGAGCTTGAGATTTGTGATGGACACATCCGACTGAGAAACATGCCAACCAACTGTGAGGTCGAGTTCTCACCTCCACATGCTTCTCACTTCTTTCACGAATTAATTCATTTTGTTCTCTTAACTGTTGCTGTTCTTCTTGAAGTGAAAAAATCCGGTCTGTTGCAGCTGAAAGCTGATTAAGAAAAATTTTTATATTTCTTAACATCAAAATGAATCTTACTGTTCAAATTAAAATCTAACATTTGGCATCTTCACAATTGACAATTTATTTTCACATATTTGATATTTTATTTATTTATTTTTGTTAATCCCTATGTGATGATATTTCTTCCACTGATTTTTAGAGAGAGTGGAAGGGAGGGAGGGGGCAGAGGGAGAAAGAGAGAAAAACATCATGCGAGAGAGACACATTGATGGGTTGCCTCCTGCATGCACCCGACTGGGGCCAAGAATGGAACCTGCAACCCAGGTATGTGCCCTTGCCCAGGAATCGAACCTCTGACCCTTCGGTGCGAGGGCTGACACTCTAACCACTGAGCAACACTGGCCACGGCTGACATTTTATTTTTTATTTCCTTGTTTTGAATAGGTAATATATTCATATGGTACAAAATTCCAAAGATACAAAATATATATAATAAAATCTCTCCCACCCCTGCTTCTAGCCAACTCTGCCCTCCCCAAATTTTCTCCTTTTAAAAAAGTGACAGCATAACGTGGGCAAAGACTTATGATTCAAGACATTAAAAACAGCCTGGCTGTCTAATATTAGAGAAATGGTTTAATAAATTACTATGGAAGCATGAAGTACAAATATGTAATATTGAAATGTTTACAAAAGCTGTTAATAATTTGAGAACATACTTATAAAATCAATATGGAAATAAAATAGGTTATGTGGTATTTTCTCACCCCTTAGTTAAAAAAGATCTTCTGCCCAGCTGGTATGCCTCAGTGTTGAGCGTCGAACCATGAAGGAAGAGGTCACTGGTTCGATTCCTGGTCAGAACACATGCCCGGGTTGCGGACTCGATCCCCAGGAAGGGGTGTGCAGGAGGCAGCCAATTGATGATTCTCTCTCATCAATATTTCTCTCTCTCTATCCCTCTCCCTTCCTCTCTCTCTAAAATCAATAAAACCGTATTTAAAAACTAAAAAATAATCTACTATGTTAAAAATATTTCAGAAATATATATACCACATGATAAAAATAGCTGTCCCTTAGCCAAGGGATTATGGGTTTTTTTCCCTGATTTTTTAATCTTTCCAGTCTTTCCAGGCAATGAGCAAAAGGATATTTTATCACAAGAGGGAAATTACAGCATTCTGGGGTAGGAATCACAACCACACCATTAAAGATGTGCCTGAGGAAGCCACCTTCCTCTCCTTGAACGACGTATCTTAGTTTAGAGAGGCATTTGGGGACCTGCTGAGGGTATCCAGAGAAGCAAGGCACAGGAGTAAATACACCAGCAAAGCCCTCCTTATCCAACTTCTGAACACGGCCTGGAGAGAGACGGGGAGGCCGGGGAGGAAGCAAGACATCTGCCCTTGGTACTCGGCTGTGCTCTCTGCATCAGTCACCAGCGGGGGCCTTGAAGCCCTGGGCTCTTCACCTTCTCAGTCAAGAGCGTCTAAGTTCACTCAGACTCGGAATCCAGAACTGGGGTTTCTAAACACAACAGCTCTGCCCGAGAAGAAACGCGAAGGCTTGAAAGGAGGTGCAAGCTGCTACAAGGGAAGGCACAGGCAAAAACCAGGAGCTAATTCCTATTCCACTCTCTGAAGATATAGAGAACACACAGTGAAAAGAGATATACTTTTTTCTAAAGAACATTTTCTAATACAATTGTTAGTCTTTGAAGAAAAAATAACCCAGTCGCTTAGTTTCAAAAGCGAAATGAGACCTTTCTTCAAAGCAGGCCACCTTGTCTGGGAGAGCAAAGAGTGAACCTGCCTGTTCTAATATCCACCAACATCCTGAGTGCCCTCCGCATGCCAACTGTTGTGCTAGGCACATTTATGTGACATTGATCCAGTGTAATCTTCATGGTTCTCACCCAATTTGGAGGTGAGAACTCAAACACCTGCCACCTAAGCTGGGGCCCAGCCACCCAAGGTGAGGGTGAGTCCTCCGGGTGGGGGGCCAGGCCCCTCCTGGGACGCCTATCTGTGAATGCTGCCCTGGACTGTCATCCTCACACACTGAGCTCCTCTCCTGAAAGCTTTTCAGGCTGGCCCCTGGGGAGGGCGCAGTCACTTTCCAGAGAGCCTTGACCTGGGTCCTCCACGTAAGGGCGAGCTCTGCGACTCGCTGTGGCTGTAACTTGCCTCCACCGTGTGCATGTGTGTGTGGGGGGGTCCATGCTCTGGCTCCCCCTTACAGCCCTCTTCCTCCTCAATGAGACTTGGTGGGGACATCGGAGCAGCAAGGGACTGCTCCCTGTGGAAAGCCTCAGAAAGGCTGAGAGACCCCCCTCCTGCTAACAGGAGACAAGATGTGTTCACCAAGGAGACTGCCGGGCAGTTGGTAGCAAGCTGTCCTCCTCGGCCTCGGCCCTCCTTCTTCCTGTCCTCTCATTCTCTCTCTTCCTAGTGAGAAAGCAGAGAAAGACCACACTGTGGGGAGACTGGTTGCATGCTTCTGAGGCCGAAACACAGGAGTGGGTGGGGTACTGTGGATCTCGGAATAGAGTCTGCGTCTGGGCAGCAGGGAGATGCACTATGCCATAGGAAAGGCGGGGAGAGCGAGAGAAGAGCACGCTCACGTAGGAGCTGGGCTTTTCCAGTGACGATTACTGTGAGGTGATGAAACAGAAGTTCCCTAGAACTGGCTCAGGATCAGCTGCACTGGCTCACGGGAGGGCAGAACACAGACATTCTGAGGATGCGAAATCTGAGAATGCCTGTCTCACATGCAGCTCAACCCAAGGCCAGCAATTCAGTCCTACCAGCAAGCAGCTCTGGTCAGGTACACCAACTACACCATTTCTCTTAACCTCGGGCCATCCTATTTTAAGAATTTCGATAAATTACAAACCTCTTCTTGAAGCTTTGAATTGGTCTTTTCCAAGGCATCTATCTTGGTTTGGAGATCCCCAACTGTGCAACTGTAGAAAATACAATATTAAGTAAATTTGAACTTACAAAGGCTGACTGCCTTCCCAACCTGCAACAGTGAGAATAGTGATTCCTAGATCTCCTGTAGGAAATGGAGAGTCAGAGGGTCTCCAATGAACTCAGATGACAATTCTAGGTACATACGTTTATTGAAAAGTTTCAATGTTTTTTCCCCAACACAATAAATGGGGACCAAAATGTGTCGGCAGTCATATAGCTTAAGTAATATTCATAACAAGATGCTGGTACTTTTGGGTAGTGGGATCAAAGGTGATTTATAAATCTTTTGATACTTTGTCCCATTTTCCAAATATTCTTTAAGTAATGTGTACTACTTTTCTACTGAAAAATATGTAAAATGCTAAAGACTTAATAAACAATACAAATGATAACCACAGAAAGAATAGTAGTTCCTTTCTCTTTGGCCAATGTGCCAGGTCCTGTGTGTTCTAAGCACTTTAAATGCATGCAATCCTCCCCACAGTCTGTGAGGTGAATTTTACGAACCTGTTTTACAGACAAGAAAACCATAACTTTATATTGAAAAACTCACTCAAGTTCCTACCCTGATGAAGGGGCACCATGACCGGACACAGGCAGTCTGTCCCAAACTGGTGCCTTGTGCCTGCGAGGGGGACACAGGTGCACTCCTGGCAAGGCCAGAGAGCCGAGGCTCAACAACAGGGAAGCTGCGGAGACCCGGCTGGGCTGGGCTGGGCTGAGCACGGCAGACCTGTCCTTCCAGCCCTGAGTCCCCTCGGTAAAAGGGTTTGATTCATCCCCACCCCAGAAAGAAGTAGGTGGAAGAAAAAGAAAAATATGAGGACACAAAATGAAAAAGGGAACAAAACAGACAATATGAAGGGAACTAAAGGTTTAAGAGTCTACAACTCAATTCTGTACCAACTACATAGCTTAGGAAATAATAAAATTTATATTTTCTTAGAAAACATAAATTACCAAAAAAGACAGATCTTCCAGAGAAGTAAACTTAGATGAACTAACAACTAAGGAAAAACTGATATGCTGGCAAAGTACTGCCTCCAGCAGGCTGTGACTTCACACATTCGGGGAGCAAGCAACACTCATGAACCAGAGGTGCCCGCGCTCCCAGGCACAGAAACAAGGCGAGCATCCCGCTCATTCTGTGAAGCCACATAACCCTGCCAACAAGCTAGGGAGAGAACTGCAGGACAGTGAGGTCGAGCTCCCTGTTAAGAGAGCAGTTAAATGGTTAAAACTAGGATCGAGCAGGAATGGCTCAGTATGAACAAATCCATTAATAAAACAGATCATACCAACAGAGTAAGGGAGAAAAGTCACCATTACCTTACTGGATGCTAATAGGCCTTTGATAAAATTCAACACCCACTCCTTATAAAAACTCTCAGGAAACTAGGAATTGATCAAGAATCTCCTTCAAAAGAACAGCCAACATCACACTTAAGGAGAGCTCAGAGCAGCACTCCTCGAGGTCCTTCGCCTGTCTCAGCAGCTGCTCATGGCACTGCGCACCCTCTGCAGGGGGACCCACAGAGAACGCCCCCCAGACACAGGAGTCGGAGAACCTCCACCACTCCCGGCAGCACCTCCAGCGACTGGTGTTTCATGAGCTACAGCAGCAGCGGCTTTCCAGTTAACGTGAAAACTCAACATATAGATGCTGGCTATGGCTACTGAATGCTCGCAAAGGTCTAGCCCAGCGGTTTTCAACCCTTTTTTCCCTGCCCCAACATGCCAGAGGGATGTGTGCTGATTCCTGGCAGCAACAGGCTTCCCATGGCAGCGATTTCCAACTAAGTGGCTGGGGGGTGAGGGGTGGAGATTCAAGGTTTACTTATTAACTCCCTAAAATATATAACTGCACAAAACAAAGAAATGAATAAGTCCCAAAAGCTCTTTATCAAGAAATCATACTTCTCCAGTCTGTACATGTGAGCATGGCACGATAATCTTTCTTCCTGGGTTGGAAAAAAAGTTAATTATAAATACACGGACACTCAAAAAAGTCCCATGAATCAATTATCGGGTACTGGGAACAAACCATAACATGGCAAAATGGGTAAGCCCTACCTTAAGTGCCGGTTCAGCTCTTCCACATAATTTTTTTGATCAAGGACATCAGTAATTCTTTCATGCCTTTTAAAAAGAGCATAAAAAGAAATTCCTTTTACTACAGGTTAACACGTTGTAACTGTCCCCCAACCTCCCACTCACCGTGTGGAGTACCAATGCTACCAGGAAACCAAGGTATAGAGCCTGATGTCTACATGGCCCTGAGGGAACAGGGAGCAAGGCTGGTGGGGGGACAGCAGCCGGGGCCTTGGGAGACGTGAAACATGCCGCCTGGAGAGCAGGCTCCCTGCAGACGCCCTCCCACCCCTGCAACTGGCCGGGTATTTGGGAAGATGAAAGCCATGGTCACGCAAGGGGGAAACACCAACAGCCACATGCAGGTGGCTCCCAAGGTGGCAGATGGAGCTGCCCTTGCTGTGTTGAAGGAAAGGAGGTTGGCTTAGAAAAGGAGACCACGAGGCTTTTCAAAACACAAAGCTGATGAGTCTGCATTAAAAAAAAAGACTTTAATGTTTTAAAGTTAGCCCCCTATATTTCTTTACATTCATATGTCCATATGTACATAAATAGGATCATTCTACACAGGTTCATGCCACAGGTACTGCATTTGTTTTTTAGTGCAGTCACTTTTTTCTTTGTTACCTGTCCTTCCCTTTACATTAAACTCTCCCAGGTAACCCTGCTGAGTATATATTATGTGCATATAATCATCATATCTATTTATCTCTCTGTGTATACTATGCAATTAAAATATAAAATACAGGCTAGGGACATTTTNACCCTGCTGAGTATATATTATGTGCATATAATCATCATATCTATTTATCTACCTGTGTATACTATGCAATTAAAATATAAAATACAGACTAGGGACATTTTGGGTTTGTTTAAAAAACGGTATATATATATATATATATATA